CTTAAGCATAAGATAGAACATCTTTTAAAAAAAAGCAAAAAAAAAAAAAACCCATTTACTTGAGATACAGTCTGGTCATAATTTATATGTCATGGCAAGCATTCATAAATGAAATATTATTGAAAGATGTGGCCTTTGGAAGCGATTGGGCCAAGAGAGCTCCTCCCCTTGGGTAAGGGCCTTAAAAAGCAGGAGCCCTACTCTCCACATAGGAAGCCACAGACTTCCTCCCCTCCAGAGACTGCTGAGGAAGGACTCTCTCCAGACATTAGTGTCTGGTCTCAGCCTACACAACAGGAGAAGATGGCTCTTCAGTTCTTTATAAGTTACCTGGTTTGCCTGTTGGAGTCTATTATAACAACACAATGGGATTAAGATGTGAAGAATTGTTAAATACCACTAGGTTGGAGGTATTGGTTATTCCTCAGGCTTTCCTACTAGGTTAAATTCTTGAGAACATGATTATAGTCATTTCTGTCACAGTGATGGTACAGCAGTTGGTAACTTTTCTGGCATAGAATAGCTACCCCAAACTTAAGCAATTTTCAACCAAAGAAAGTATATGACCCCAAATTACCACTTTATAATTTGCCTTTTCTGTGCTTCTGATTTTTATTAGGGAGTACATATTGTATCACAATATAAAAAGACTTCCCTTAAAACATTGTTTTTGGTTAAACCTCAGTAGTTGTTATCATACAAATGTATCAGGAGACTTTTTCAACCGGAAATTTCATCCAAACCGCTCACCCACTTACCAAGACCACATATGTTGGTATTAGTATTTCCTTAGCACTCTGCAAATCATGCTTTGTATTTGGAAGTCCTTCACTTTCCCAACAGGAAAATGACACTAGTGTTACAAAGGCTGTCTGACTTGGAGAGAAGAATGCAACCAGTGAGGCTCTAAAATCTTCACATAATTCCTGGAAGCTCTGTATAATTAGCCAGCTCATTCAACTAGCCAGGAGTGATGAGTAGAAATCTTCCCTCTCACAGCTTTCTCCCTTTGGGCCTGATTACAGCTTGCCTGCATGTGTTTCCTGGAAGCTCTAAAGAAGTCTAAGAACCTACTGTGTTCTTACATTGTTTTTATTTCTGTGCTGGTTTAATTATTTTAAGAACAAGAAAGTTCCAGCTGTCTGGATCTGTCCTGTTGTATGGTTCTGTGAGGAGTTCTTGAATGTCATTGGGCACAGAAGTTGCATAAAGAGGTTTTTTCAAGCTTAGTTTGTTTCTTTTTTAGTGCGTCCCTGAGACTTGGATGAAGTAGACATGGGACAGAGCCATGGAGGCTGTTTTGTAATAGACCTGGGAGATTCTGAGGCATACAACCTTAGACTTCAACTTTGGTGACTATACTAGGGCCCTATTATATTGAAATAGCATCTCCCCAAAGCTGTGAAAAATCTCAGATAATAGCCCAACAGCGTAGGAGCTAACTACTTACCAGTACACTCACTTAAATACAGTATGACCAAAAATTGCATAGTTTTGTTAGCTTTCTATAAGATAACAGGAAATATAAAAACAATTTTAGCAAATTCATTAACTTTTCTGTGTATCATATGCTTAAAACATTCAACATAAAATGCAATGTTCCGATCTAGACAGTAGTATGTAGTCTCTTTCCAAATTCTTTTTATATTGTTGTCGGTCTTAGTACAACACATTTTACATTGTTGCGTTGGCTTTCCCTTTTTTCTATGGGTGTATAATTTCAATAACATATCTGTCCACTACACATAAGGATGAAGACATTGATGATGTGATCCTGGTTGGGATTTTGCTATTTCGTATTTTTCAATTATTTAGTCTGTTAGATCTAATCTAAATGATAATTGACTTTTGAATCCTCTTGTTTTGAGAAAATAATAAATGTGTTCCATATTTTTGGTCCAGAAGGTGAATAAATATTTTACAATAATATTTTTCTCTGTTTTTCATTATATGATAACTTCTTAGATGTTGGTCAACTCTGTCAATACTGTCCATAGAATTATTATAATCAATGACCACCATTGAAATATTTTTAGTTCTGTTTTTTCTTTCAAATTCTATAATTTCTGCACTATGAATAGTTGACAATAAAGAGATAACTTTGTTTGTCTTCTGTTTCACAATATGGACTGTTTCCTCTCTGATATGCTAATGTTTCTCCCTTTTTCAGTTTTTTCTTTGGGAAGATCTTTTGTTATTTCTACCCACTTACTCAGCTTCAGTGTCCCAAATATGTCCACTTTTTATTGTAAAAGAATACCACTGAGTTTTGGAGAAGTATAAAATTCATATCAAATTTACTTGGATAAGAGTTTTAATAGATTGTAGCATGAACTTACAGGTTATTTTTCAGAAACAAAACAAATGCAAATTGTTAAAATGAAATAACCAGAACTTACTAGATTTCACTAAAAGCAAACATCAAAGGGGAGTATGATGTTCCAAGTTTTAAAAAAGAGGGTTGGAGAGATAGCTTAGTGGACTAAGCACCTTAGGCAAGCGCAGGGTCCAGGATTCAATCCCCGGCACCACATGCTGTGCAGGCCTCCTCCCTGGGCATGCTAAGCTGGATACCATGATCAGGTGTGGTGGCACACACCAGTTATTCCTGTGCTGGGGAGGCTGAAAACAGGAGGATCACTAAGAGGCTGAGCTGCATAGTGAGACCTGATGCCAAATACATTAAAAAAAAAAGGTTGCAAAGCATCATTGATGTAAAAGACATCTGAGTGTTTCTCATGCAAGCAAGAATCTACTGGTTGAAATGACACCTGCCTGAGCAATGCTTTGTACAATCAATATGTTAACAAATGCACCACCTGAGTGACACTCAAGGGAAACTCTTAAGTGATTAAGCAAAGTTGAAGTTTCTTCATTATTTCTGGTTCAGTTAACCCCGAACCATAGATGCTAAGATTCAAGTATGTATTTACCATCATGAAAGTCCCCAGGGGCCTGTGAGTTAAAGGCTTGGTCCCAGGTGACATCATTAAAAAGTGATGGACTCTTTTGAAGCTGTGGCCTTGTGGGAAGGAAGCCTTAGATCATGGAAGCCTATTCTTTAAGGGGACTGTGGGACCCCAGTCCTGTCTTCCTCTTTGTTCCCTAGCCTATGATGTAACTGACTTTACTCGACTGCACACCCACACCAGGGAGGGCTACCTCACCCAAGCCCCAAAGCAATGGATAGGCCTAATTTGTGAGTCAAAGAAAGCCACTTTTTCTCGATAAGTTGATTTTCTCAGATATTTTATTATCATGCCCCAGAGTGGCCTCACAGTACTTTCTCCCTGTGCTGTCTCCTGCTCTCCTCAAGAGATAATATCCCCACAACCTTCTCAGCAAGACTACTGAGGAGAGTGGACATTTGTTTTACTTGTCCAAGCTTGGAATAGGAGCTATATGAAGGAAAGGCCAGACAGTCCATCCACTCTGGGAAGAACCTAAGTGTTTCTGAAAAGAGCCATTTCTCTCAGCAGTGCTAATAACAGTGAAGTGTCCCAGTAGAGATGCCTACCTCATGGGACGGCAAGATTCTTTGGGTCAAGTTTTGTTCACCTTCTAGGACTAAATGGAAACTTCTGACACTCCTGACCACCATAATCTACTAACCCAGCCTTATTCTCTGGAGGAGAGAACAGAAGAAACAGAAACCACATCTGTATTGATGAGAAAATTACAACAATTTTAAGGGGAGTCTGTCTCTTTTCTCTCAAGTTTTTGAAAATCAAAGTAGTACTTGGCTCTTCTTGTGATATAATTGCAATTACTTAAGCATCTCCCACACAGGCACATTAACATAAAATTAAATAGGATTTGAAGCAATGTCTGCCGGTTGCCAGATACCACCATAGGACCTGATTCTGAAACTCAGGCCCTTTCTCCCGATCTGGAATGACAGAGAAGAGACATTAAAGTTTCCAGCAGAGCAGAAGGTAGGATGTGGAGTTGCCAGTGTTTAGGAAACTACTTCTCTGTATGTGATGGTTTTATCTGGCAAGGTTTGACCCTTGCAGGAAAATTCTTGAGACATGAGTGAGGCCTCTGTGGTCTCTGTTTTATGGGTTGAGTTTGCATTACATTACAAGCTCTGATTTTATCTGCCTATCAGGCTTCTCTCAGGCCCCTTCCTTCCGTGTGAAAAAAGGGTGTAAGGACAGACTGATTACAACAGGGATGCTTTTGTGAGAAGAGTCCATTCCAGGAGTGCATGTGCTTGATGCCTCTGCTATGAGCCACCTTCCCAGACAGATGGCAGCTGGCTGGCTGCACCTGCTGTTGATCTCAGCACCTTGGATGGGAATCGCAAAGCAGGTTTGGGGACTCCTGTATCACTAGCAGCAGGGCCCCACCTCAGCCAGTGAAGACACTGGGTCACACATGTAGGATGTGAAAAACAGACCCAGTAGAGACTTATGTCTGAGCCTCTGACTTGAACGTCATTGCCAAGCAGCCAAGAATCTGGCAGGGTTTCTGAGGAGTCTCTGCCAACTCATTTCTGAAGCCACAGTTTTCCTCTGAAGTCCTCCTCAGGATGTGTACAGTTTTGTGCTTGTTTTGTATTTCACTTTTCTTATATGCCAGATTTTTTTTTCTTTGAGAGGCACCAAAACCTCTGGGGTTTCAGTGTGGGTAGGGAGAGGAGCAAGGACAGCAACTTGTGGAGGTCAGCAGTATCAGGTAGCCTTTCCTGAAGTCAGTCTTTGGAGGATCCAAGCCACTGTGTTCTTCAACCAAGAATATTTCACAGTGCCAAGCCTCAGGATGTCAAAGAACTGCTTACAAAATACTCTTTCATAAGAAATTGAAAGATTTAGCATGCCTGCCAACATCTCTCATATAGGCTATGACAAAAACCGAAAAAAAGTCCAAGGACCATGATAGCGTGTTCTTTGTGGAACAGACCACACGCAGCTTTTCTCTAACAATTTCCATTATCTGCCTTTAAAACTTTGGTGTTTGCCACCAGTTCCATGAAATTTATAAAAAATATCCAACATGGAGTGTGCTCAGAGCAGGTGGCCTTAAGAATGGCTTTTGTTTTTACAGCACACCCAACAGGAATCTAGGGTCAGTGTGACAAGGAGCACAATGCTTATGACTTCCCTGTGAGCAAATGTCCTAAACATAGACTCCATATACTTCCACATGGCTTCTGGATAGTACCACTGGCACAAGGCTCAGTAGTGGGGGATGTTATAGCATTTAGTGAGGGAGGTGAACATTTTAAGCCTGTCCACTGTATCCATGGGTGACCTGTTGGTGGTCCAAGAAGTAAACACTGAATTTCTATGTTCAGCAAAATAATTCAATAATAATAATAATAATAATAATAATAACGAAATGTCCAAGTAAAGGAGAAATGTGTTTCCAGGACTATAGTAGGTACAACACCTGTACAGCCTACAGCATCTATACTTCATGCAATTTTTAAAGCTTGGTATTTCTCCTCTTCAACTAATGGGGTTTCCATTTTCTCTGCATCTAATAGTGAAGCATCAAGTTTATAAGATGTAAAGAACAAAAGCAGAATTCTGACGACAATGTAACTTCAAACTCAAAAGCTGTCACTGTGCCCCAGCCAAGGGCATGTGGCGAAATACACTCTGTTCTTCAGAATTAATCAATTTTTCCCATTATTTTATTGAGAAATAAATAGCAATGAGACAGTTTCAAAACAAATTGGTAGGACAGTTCCAATAATTAACACATTGCATACTGCCTTCCTAGTGGTTATTTGTTGTACAAGATGCAGACATGATATCCTATTTACAAAATCTATTAGAAAAAATGCCTATATTCCTTGAATTGAGAGAATGTAGCTATATATTTATCCCAACCATTTTGAATACATAGATACAAAGTCGTCATTCATCTATATACCCCTTTTCTTGGT